GAACAGACCCGAGCCGCTCCCCTCAGAGTCGGGCCGGGCTGAGACGAGCCGAACAGACCCGAGCCGAGCCGAACAGACCCGAGCCGAGCCCCTCAGGGTCGGGCCGAGCCGAGCCGAACAGACCCGAGCCGCTCCCCTCAGGGTCAGGGCGGGGCGGGCCCTGAGGCGACCCCGCGGCCGCCCCTAACACGCTTGAAAGGAGAAAATGGTGGCAGGGTTCGTCCCGCCACACCACACCACAGGACGAAGAGGAAAAAAAAGGGGGTCAGTCACCGGGAGAGAGGCTACTTGGCGGCGGCGGAGGCCGTGGTGGTGGTGGCGGTGCTGCGACGCTGCTCCATGCCGTTGGGCAGGAAGCCGGCGATGATGGGCACCGGCCAGATGAGGGCGGCCACGCTCCACACGATGATGACCAGAGTCATGAAACAGGCCACCAAGGTGGACTCGATGGGCTTGCGGTTCAGCCGCCAGCCCGGCTCCCCCTTCAGCTCCTCCAGGCTGAAATCCAGGCAGCAGAAATTCAGCGGCTCCCCTTGCAGCCAGTACTGGCCGGGCTCCGCCGCCGGAGGGTAGGAGAGCGAGGAGGAGGAGGAGGAAGAAGCAGCAGCGGCGGCGGCGGCCTGAGGCGCGGTGCCCCGCAGGCGTCCGACCCGCCGGCCCCGCACCCAGCTGCAGCCCACGCAGAGGCGCAAGTCCTGCTGGGCGCCGCCGGCCGCCAGCCCCAGGTGCTCGATGAGCAGCGGCGGCCCCACGCGGTGGAAGGCGGCGGAGAAGAAGGCCCGCCCGTGGCTGTTGGTGGAGAAGAGCAGGAGGTCGCACTGGATGCCCAGCGGGCGGCTCCAGCGCACCAGCAGCGAGCTCAGCATCTGCCGCTGCACGCTGATATTGCAGTGCGGGTCCTCGGCGGGATGCGGCTGGGGACGCGGCGGCTGCTGCTGTTGCTGCTGCTGCCCGGAGGAGGTGGGAGCGGAGGGGAAAGGCTCTCGGCTAGGGGCAGCCGACGTGCCCGGGCTGGTGGTGGCGGTGGAGGCGGTGGCGGTGCTGCCTTCCTCCTTGCTTGCTGCCCCGTCGAAGTCCATCTCGAGGCTGGGCAAGGAGCGGGAGGAGGAGTTGGCAGCGGGCAAGAAGAGCTCCTGCTCCGGCTCCTCCTGCCCGCTGGCGGCCGCCGAGGGGCTCCAGCCCTGGCCGGGGGGCAGGCAGGCGGCCAGCAGCGCCGGGAGGAGCAGCGGCAGCATGGCATTGACTTAGAGCCGGAGAGGAGGCAGCGGAGGAGGAAGAACGGGAGGCTGCATGGCGCTGCCGGCTGCCATCTGGGAAGGGGAAGGCACTCCGCTCTCGCCCAGAGGAAGGGAAGGAGGGTGGGGGCAGGCGAGGGGGTGGGCGCGGGGCTGGGGCCGCCGCGGCGGCGAGGCGAGGCGAAACGGGAG